TTTTTTTTTTTTTCCTCTTGTGGCAGATACCATGGCTCTACACTTATATCAGCCAGTCTTTCGGGGTATGTATGTTTTTATGTCACTACCAACTTTGAGAATCCTAATAAATGATTTTTGAGTAAAAACCTGAAATTGACCATTTTTTTTTCTTTAAATAGTCTGCCTGCACTGCACCATAAGTTTGATTTGCCGGCTCCATTTGTATTGCACACCGATTGCCCTCATTACTGGCGTTTTCATCTCCCAGGTTGATATACTCAGTCACTATTAGCTAGAGTTCCTCTCACAATGATGCTTTAAAATTTATTTTATTTATTTAATTTTAATAAATATTTCCAGGTGAAACGGAGGAGGAGTTCTCTACCCGGTTGGCCCATAACTTAGAAAATCTTATCCTTAAAGAGGGGCCTGAGACGGTAATTGGAATTAGATATTAGATTCATTTCGTTAGACTTTGTATTCAATTACAGAAAAACTATCTCCAATGGCTCAACATGATAGCGACAGAAAACAGGAAGAAGAAAGAGAGGATAGCAAAAGAAATTCATATTTTTTTCTTTCCTATTACCGCACACTTTTTCTTGCACTGTGATAGTGTGATAGGGATGGCAAATTACATTATTACCCTCCTAACAATCTTATGTTCATTTCAGATTGCTGCATTTATTGCCGAGCCAGTTATGGGGGCAGGTGGCGTAATACCTCCGCCCGCAACATATTTTGAGAAAGTGAGTTTTCCTTTTTCCATGCTATTTATGTACCAAACTGTAAGGTGGAAAGTGTAATTTCTTCTAAATATTTTCATCTTTTGATTGTCCACGCAGAAAACATTAAGAAGTTCACTTCTTTTATTTTTCCCTTTGAATCCGCTCTGCAATTTTAATAGTGTTTGATGTGATTATTTTCGACGTATGTGCAGATTCAAGCTGTTGTTAAAAAGTATGATATCCTTTTCATTGCTGATGAGGTAATATGTGCCTTTGGGAGGCTCGGAACTATGTTCGGCTGTGACAAGTATGGAATCAAACCGGATCTTGTGACTGTAGCTAAGGTAAAAATTTCTTCGCGGTGCATTGTGAAAACTGAAAAGGCTAGTCAACTTTAAATTTCCCGACTAGTTTTCCTTGTTACGAATATTACACAGGCACTATCTTCTGGATACATGCCAATTGGAGCTGTTCTTGTTAGCCCCCAAGTCTATGATGTCATACACGATCAGAGCAACAAACTTGGTCGGTAGATCTTTTATTTTATTTTATTTTTATTGTTTATCATAAAATTGTTTTGGAAATTTCCCGTGTATGACTTCTGCTCATATTTTGTCTTTGAAGGTGCATTTTCCCACGGGTTTACATATTCCGGACATCCTGTGTCTTGCGCCGTTGCATTGGAAACACTTAAGATCTACAAGTATGTGGTTTTATTATTACTTTTGGGGTGCATTCAATTTCTCTTCTTCGTTATGGGGATTAAGTGTTTTTCACTATAATCGATTGATGGAATTTGATGACCTAATTGACGAAATTTGTTGATGTCATCAACTGTTTTCAAAATTTTTTTGCTTGTTGACTTCTCAAAATATTACAAATAGAACCCATTCGTTTCACTCTGAAAACTGAAATGTATGGAAATGTGTGTTTTTCTGTAACAACATGAATATTTTTCTAATTATCCTAGCCTTTTTGATGTCTGCACAAAAAGAATGACCGAATGAATTTAGTGTACTCCACATGTTCTATGGGAAGTTCATGTTTATTTATAGGTGTATATAAATCTGCAGGGAGAGAAATATTCTTGATCAAGTAAATAAAATAGCTCCAAAATTTCAAGAGGGTCTAAAGGCATTTTCTGACAGTCCCATCATTGGAGAGGTATAAATATAATTATATTCTCTCTATTTTTTTTTCACAATTTTTAGTTTTTTCATTCGAATTTGCGCTTTTCTACTGAAGATTCGGGGGACAGGTTTGATTCTCGGGACTGAATTTGCCGATAACAAGTCGCCTAACGACCCTTTCCCTTCCGAATGGGGTACTTCTGGAATTTTTTTTTAGTATAAATGGTTGTGAACATAGAGAAATTGTAAGAAATTTATCAGTACTAACAAAATCTACTATTCTCCATTAACATTTTTAAGGTGTTGGAGCTTATTTCGGAGCAGAATGTGCGAAGCACGGCATGTTAGTACGTGTTGCCGGTGACAATATAATGATGTCACCTCCGTTCATAATGACTCTTGAAGAAGTTGACGAGGTGAGTGTATATGCATAAATAAAAAGTAGTTCATTGTGGGAGAATCTAGATGAGTACATAATAAACGAGTCCAGCTGGTGAATGATCTTGAGAAAACGCTCGACCTGGTTTTGAGAATTTGATTAGACTGCGTAGAAAAAACTGGTTTTTTGTTTGGCCCAACTTTGATAAGTTAAAAATCAAGAATTGGTACATTTTATGTGCATATCAAATATTATTTTTTCTGATCTCGAAACATTATTTCTTGCTTGAACAGCTAATCGACATCTATGGAAAAGCTCTGAAGGCTACAGAAGAGCGGGTGCTCGAGCTCAAGTCTCAGAAGAAGTAAAAGATTTAGGTCCCAACAAATTATTTTATGATGATGATGATATGATGATAATGATGGCTATTCTTGCTGGAAATGGAGATGTGTTTGCAGTTTACATATTTGTGGAATTTGAAATAAAGGGACCAATGTTGATGATTTCTTGGTCCTCTTGCAAATTCTCTTTGGAGCTTTTGTTTCTCTATATTATTAATAGAAGTAAATTATTATGGTTTGTTTCTTTTGGGATCTTTATTCTAATCAATCTTGTTGAGGTGTTCTATTATTTATTTATTTATTTATTTTCTTCAATCCATAAAATTCAATTCTCTGTATTATGAAAGAAAACTATATATGCTTCAAGATAATTAACTATATTACATGAGAACATAAACATAATTAGGTTTCTGCAAATCATATTACAAAACCAACAAACTAAATATGGATGAAATATCAAAATAGACTAGTTGTGTTTTCCTTGTAGTAGTACTGCAGCCGGGCACAGTTAAAAAGATCAGAATGTTCCAGGTATGAGCTCCTATAAAAGGTCCGCATCCAAGCTCTAGTTGATAAAATTGACATTACCGAGCTCCTGCACTAGTTTTTTCGCCCGAACCATTGAGGAGACGCACCTCGAGATTTGCACACGTCACTTCCTCGAATTATCCAAAGTACCGATTTTTCAACCGAAAGTCCAAATTGCCGAGCTATATTGGGGGCACCCAAAGTGCCAAGCTCCTGCTACGATTTTCCCTTTGAAATTTCAAAATCGCCGGGCTATCAATTTTAACCCAAAATGTCGCTTAGTATAGCTAGGTTACTCATTGACGTCATGCGCTCGTCCACCTTAAAACCATCATACTTGTTGCACCTTAGCCGAGCTTATGCAACATAAAGAGCTCGGGCTTCATAGCCGATCAACACCCAAAAAACATAAAGAGCTCGGTTTTCTCCAAGCAACACCCAAACAACATATTACCAAATGAGTTATATGAGATTACCGAATTATCTCACGATATCTCGTCCGAACTACATCTGGAAATAATACACAGATTTTTGCCCAAGTATGGTTGAAATATTCATATTGCCGAGCTATATTACAACTTCTTGGCCGAACCATAATTAAAAGTTTTTGGATTATCGAGCCCTCTTCCTGGTTTCTCACCCGAGCCGTCGATCC